GGTCATTGTCAATTGATTCTTGCATTTTCTCCACTTTGTTCTCAAGGTTTCTAATCATCTTTACTATCATTATTCTGAATTCTTTTTCAGGTAGTTTGCCTATTTCCTCTTCATTTATTTGGACTTCTGTGTTTCTAATTTGTTTCTTCATTTTGTGTATATTTCTCTGCCTTTTCATTATTTTTTTAAACTCATTGTGTTTGAGGTCTCCTTTTCCCAGGCTTCAAGGAAAGTTGGATTCTTTCCTTGAAGAAGGTTGAATTCTTTTTTCCTTTTGGTTTCTGCCCGACTAAGGTTTGTCCAGTGGTTTGTGTAATCTTTGTATAGGGTGAGATTTGTGCTGAGTTTTTGTTGGTTTGTTTTTTTGTTTTTCCTCTGATGGGCAAGGCTGAGTGAGGTGGTAATCCTGTTTGCTGATCATTGGGTTTGTACTTTTGTTTTGTTTGTTGTTTAGATAAGGCATCCTGACAGGGTGCTACTGGTGGTTGGGTATTGCCAGGTCTTTTTTTTTTTTTGCCATGCAAGTGGTTTCCTTTGTGTGAGTTCTCATTATTTGCCTGCAGCCATGAAATTAAAAGACACTCCTTGGAAGGAAACTTATGACCAACCTAGATAGCATATTAAAAAACAGAGACATTACTTTGCCAACAAAGGTCCATTTGGTCAAGGCTGTGGTTTTTCCGTTGGTCATGTATGGATGTGAGAGTTGGACTGTGAAGAAAGCTGAGCACCAAAAAATTGATGCTTTTGAACTGTGGTGTTGGAGAAGACTCTTGAGAGTCCCTTGGACTGCAAGGAGATCCGACCAGTCCATCCTAAAGGAGATCAGTCCTAAGTGTTCATTGGAAGGGCTGATGCTGAAGCTGAAACTCCAATACTTTGGCCACCTCATGCGAAGAGTTGACTAATTGGAAAAGACCCTGATGCTTGGAGGGATTGGGGGCAGGAGGAGGAGGGGATGACAGAGGATGAGATGGCTGGATGGCATCACCGACTTGATGGGCATGAGTTTGAGTAAACTCCGGGAATTGGTGATAGACAGGGAGGCCTGGTGTGCTGCAGTTCATGGGGTCGCAGAGTCAGACACGACTGAGCGACTGAACTGAACTGAACTGAACTGAGGGTTAGTTCTCTGAGAGTCTAGGGTCTTGGAGTCAGTGCTCCCACTCCAAAGGCTCAGGGCTTGATCTCTGGCAGGAGCCCCCTCTCCAGGGACTGCAGGAGCCCACCTGACGGTGACCAGGAGCCAAACCCTCATACCACCCACTCGCCTGTCTGCTCATGCAAAACTCGCTGACCATCTTGGGCCATCCCACTGTGCACTTGCTCTTGCACACCCCAAATTTATCATTTTAACCACTTTAAAGTGTACTGTTTGTTGGCATCAGGTACATTCACATTGTTGTGAAATCATCATCATTATGCATCTCCAGAACTTTTTCATCATCCCAAACTCAAATTCCATATCCATTAAATAGTGACTGTCTATTCCTACCCACACTTCTGGTAACCACGAGTCTACATTCTGTCTCTATGATTTTGATCACTCTATAACAAACTGTGGAAAATTCTGAAAGAGGTGGGAATACCAGACCACCTGACCTGCCTCTTGAGAAACCTGTATGCAGGTCAGGAAGCAACAGTTAGAACTGAACACGGAACAACAGACTGGTTCCAAATAGGAAAAGGAGTATGTCAAGGCTGTATATTGTCACCTGCTTATTTAACTTAAATGCAGAGTACATCATGAGAAACGCTGGGCTGGAGGAAGCCCAAGCTGGAGTCAAGATTGCTGGGAGAAATATCAATAACCTCAGATATGCAGACGACACCACTCTTATGGCAGAGAGTGAAGAGGAACTAAAAAGCCTCTTGATGAAAGTGAAAGAGGAGAGTGAAAAAGTCGGCTTAAAGCTCAACATTCAGAAAACTAAGATCATGGCATCTGGTCCCATCACCTCATGGGAAATAGATGGGGAAACAGTGGAAACAGTGGCTGACTTTATTTTTTGGGGCTCCAAAATCACTGCAGATGGTGATTGCAGCCATGAAATTAAAAGACACTTACTCCTTGGATGGAAAGTTATGACCAACCTAGACAGCATATTAAAAAGCAGAGACATTACTTTGCCAACAAAAGTCCATCTAGTCAAGGCTATGGTTTTTCCAGTAGTCATGTATGGATGTGAGAGTTGGACTATAAAGAAAGCTGAGCACCGAAGATTGGTGTTTTTGAACTGTAATGTTAGAGAAGACTCTTGAGAGTCCTTGGACTGCAAGGAGATCCAACCAGTCCATCCTAAAGATCAGTCCTAGGTGTTCATTGGAAGGACTGATGTTGAAGCTGAAACTCCAATACTTTGGCCACCTGATGTGAAGAGCTGACTCATCTGAAAAGACCCTGATGCTGGGAAAGATTGAGGGCAGGAGGAGAAGGGGATGACAGAGGACGAGATGGTTGGATGGCATGACCGACTCAATGGACATGGGTTTGGGTGGACTCCGGGAATTGGTGATGGACAGGGAGGCCTGGAGTGCTGTGGTTCATGGGATTGAAAAGAGTTGGACAGGACTGAGCGACTGAACTGAAATGAGACCTCATATTATTGGAATCCTACTATATTTTTCCTTTTATGTCTTGTTTATTTCACTTAGTATAATGTCTTTAAGTTTCCTTCATGTTGTAGAGTTTTATTTATCAGAGTTCCATTTCTTTTAAGGCTGAATAATATTCCATTGTATGTACATACCACATTTTGTTTATCCATTCATTCAATCTGTGGACATTTGAGTTGTTTCTACCTTTTTTGGCTATTGTGAATAATGTTACCATGAGCATGGATATAAAAATATCTGTTCAAGCCCTTACTTTCAGTTCTTTTGGGTTTATGTCTAGAAGTGAGATTGCTGGATGATATGGTAAATCTATGTTTACTTTATTTAGGAACTGCCATACTGTTTTCCACAGTGGCTGCATCATTTTACACTCTCATCAGCAATGCATGAGAGTTCCATTTTATCCACATTCTTGCCAATATTTGGTATAATCTGTTCATAAAAATGTTTTAAATAATATTTATCTTAATGGGTATAAAGTAATATTTCATTGTGACTTTAATTTGCATTTCTGTATTGATTAGTGATGCTACACATCTTTTCATGTACTTGTTAGCCATTTGTAGGAGGATTGTTTGTTTTTGTTGTTGAGAACATAGTTTTTTGGTTTATAGTGGCTATATAACCCTTTTTTGAAATCTTTCCATTGTAATTGGGCCAGTTAAGTTTTCTATTTCTTTTTAGATTTTTGAAAATTCTCTTTCTTTAGGGATTTATCCATTTCCTCCTGATTTTCCTATTTGTTGCTGAAGAGCTACCCATGGTATTTTCTTACGTAGATAATTTTACACCCTAAATTATAGTTATTTATGTATATCTTCCTTCTTAGATTTCAAATTCTATTCACAGCTTAAATATTATCAATGAAATGTGCATTTCCTTGAATATAGTATTCATATAATAATTGTTTCAGAATAAATGAACATGTGAATTCCATTATTTAATTAATAGTTGATTATTTACCAATGACTTAATTTTCATTAACATATTGAACATGTTAGTAACAAGTTTCATAGGTTAAATACTGTATTTAGCTTTGTATAAGATGACTGTGACATTCAGAATATAAAATTTATAGCATTTGAAACAGAAAAGCTTTTGTTAGCAACTGATGTGAAATTCAAAAGGAAGAGAGGAAAGGTAAAATGAGAGATAGATGAAAAAAACTAACATTTAGTGAGACTTATTAGGTTCCTGTCACTATTTAAGTTTCTTGCATAGAGTATCTTATTTGACTTTTATCATAATCCTTTGGAATGGCCATAGTCATCCCCATTTTACAGATGAGAAAACAGGGGCTCAGGGAAGTAACCAACCAGAAAGAGGAAGAGTCTTTCTAAATAGGAGTGAAGAATTTCTGTGAATTTTTGTACTAAACAAAACATAAGTAGGCAGCTAGACTAATTTTTTGAATTTTTACTGATGTATTTCTGGGCAAGAATATAAGGGTGAGATGAGAACAGTGCTAAATGAGGATTGGTCTCCTCTCAAAGTTGTTAGATAAATGACACAAAGCAATAGGCCTGAAAGTACTTTCTGAGTGTGGATATTACCTATGACTACAGATTGGTGTTAGAGGCTTATAGTGAATTACAGAGCTAGTGCATGCGTGCTTGCATGCTAAGTTGCTTCAGTCATTTCCGACTCTTTGTGACCCTATGGATTGTAGCCTGCCAGGCTTCTCTGTAATGGGATTCTCGAGGCAAGAATATAGGAGTGGGTTGCTGTGCCCTTCTCTGAAGAGCTAGTACCTGCTATCAAAGAGCTTATGTTCTGCTGGGAAGCCAAGCAGACATAGATGGAACGAAGAGAAATATTTAAATCTGATAATTACTAAAAATGCTTTGAGGCTCCACAGAGCTTATGAGTTGATGCTGAGGGGCACAGTGACTGGCACCCCAGAAACATGTCATCAAGCTTTTTATGGATAAGAAAGCCTCCATCTGTTGCAGAGGCCTGATGTTCCCTCAGCTTGACTGGGGATCTTAGGTGCAGCCTCTTGGATCCACAGGTTTATTAGAAGAGCTTGTTCACCTGCTCCCTAAACACCTGCTTCACCTGTTTGTTCCTCAGGGTGTAGATGAAGGGATTGAGCACTGGGGTCACCACGGTGTTGAGCAAGGCCACCACCTTGTTCCTGTCCTCCCCCTGGCCTCCCTTGCCCGACCGGACGTACATGAAGATGCAGCTGCCATAGAAGAGAGAGACGACAATGATGTGGGAGGAGCATGTTGAGAAGGCTTTCTGCCTCTCCTTGGCTGAGGGGAGGTGCAGGATGGTGTGGAGAATGTGGCCATAGCAGGTGGCCGTCACGGACAGAGTGCCCAGTAGGCTGATGTTGGCCAGGATAAATCCCAGAAACTCGATCAGACTTGTGTCTGCACATATGAGTTCCAGGAGTGGAAAGTTGTCACAGAAGAAATGATCAATGATATTGGGACCGCAGAATGGTTGCTGAAATATGATGGAACATGGAATGGTTATAAGGAGGAATCCTGTGATCCATGAAGAAAGAACTAGCAGGACACAGACCCTTTTGCTCATGATGGTGACATAACGCAAGGGGTTGCATATGGCCACATACCTGTCAAAGGACATCACTGCCAGTAGGAAGAACTCTGTGGTGCCCAGGAAGAAATAGAGGAAAAGCTGGAGAAAGCAACCTGCTAGGGAGATGGTCCTGTTTCCAGTCAGGATGTTGGTCAGTGTCTTGGGGAAGATGACCGAGGTGAACCAGATCTCCAGGACAGCAAAGTTGCGGAGGAAGTAGTACATGGGAGTGTGGAGGCGCCTGTCCATGAGGGTGAGGACCACGATGAGGAGGTTCCCCAGTAGAGTGAGCAGGTAGGTCAGGAGGAGCCCCAGGAGGAGGAACGTCTGCAGCTCACAGGCATCTGAGAGCCCCAGCAGGACGAACTCGGTGACAGTGGTGTGGTTCCCCGTGGCTCCTCTGGCCTTTGCTGGGAGTGCCCAATCAGGGGTGTGCAGCTTTAGGAGTCGTGATGTTCTGGGGATCTGAGGACACTTGGAATTTATAGGAAAAAGTGCTGAATGTACCATTTAGAGTTGTAGGAGTCCTTTTTTTGTTCTTTTTTTTTTTTTTTTGGAGAGCCTTTTTGAGGCTGCTGCTGCTGCTGCTACTGCTGCTAAATCACTTCAGTCGTGTCCGACTCTGTGCGACCCCATAGACAGCAGCCCACCAGGCTCCACCATCCCTGGGATTCTCCAGGCAAGAACACTGGAGTAGGTTGCCATTTCCTTCTCCAATGCGTGAAAGTGAAAAGTGAAAGTGAGTCATGTCCGACTCTTAGTGACACTATGGACTGCAGCCTACAAGGCTCCTCCATCCATGGGATTTGCCAGGCAAGAGTACTGGAGTCAGTTGCCATTGCCTTCTCCGTTTGAGGCCACCTGTCTCTTTTATTGCCCCTGGTGTTTCTACGTGGTAGAGAGCGGTATTGCCAGGGATGCTAAGTAAATGTCCTATACCAAAAGTTATTCTTGCTTGCTTTTGTTAACTGAAATTTTACTTCTGTTCCTCAGCAATTCCTTTGCCTCTGACTTTCATTACCTTTCACTGCCTTTCATTTTATCTTTATTCTAATATTGGGTCTTCATTCATAAGTAGTCCCTATTTGAGGCTGACAAATATTTGAGGCTGGAAAAATAGCAAAATGGCTTAACTTAGCCATTCACTATACAGATCCATATCCTGGGTAAACTGATGATTCATAGACACTCTATTGCTATTTCAGTATTATGTGAAAATGTGATGCCTTTCACTAGTATTTGGCTTAATAAAGAGACAAGAGGAAATCTATGAGAGAAAAGCACAATCCCTACCAATCAAAAAGACAATAATCCAAGTAACATATGCAGAAATAAAAATTTGTTAGTGGAAACAAAATTTGTTAATGGAAATTTGGTATTTATCCTAATGTGGACATTGGATTTGTCCTAATGTAATAGATCCATAGTCTCCTGATTGCATATTCCCATGGGCTCAAGATACAATAGACCCTTTGTTTTTAAAGAAATTTTTAACTGTTTTATATACATAGGTTTCAGCACATGGCATTTCAGCTTGGAACCATCAGCTTTTCAAATCATATTTATCCTTTAAGTCTCTCCTCAATGAGTGCTATCATTTCCATAAAGTCTTCTCTTTTGAATGCATGAGTCTCTGTATCCCTCATTTTATTGTATATCACAACTTTTATTGTGTTTTATGGTTGTTTTTCATCTTTGTATTTTATATAGCCCCTAGAACAAGTTTCTTGAAACAATCAGCTTTAATAAGCATGTATTGAATGAGTGAACAACACCTCAAATATCTGTGGTATGGATTTGGTGGTTTTTGACACACAGTAGATTGAGGATGTGTCACTTACGTGGCACTTCATGGAAGACAGAAATCCTGCTGTCATATGCCAAGCAGTCTGTTAAATTGGCCCATCTGAAGAGGGTTTGCTTTTCCTCACGAGAAGGTGGAGATTTTTCCCCGCTAACATTCTCTAAGGAGTAACTCTCCATCTTTGAGATAGTCTGGAGTTTGAGCTAGTAAATAGAGGTCTGTTTGTATCTGCTAGAATGCTTCCAGCAGAAAACAAAACAAAAGCAAAACCCCAAACCTAAAATACAGCTCTTTTTAAAAGTCTACCTCCCTACAAGTTTCCTTCCTTAAGCATTATCAACCACTCCCTTAATTATCAGACAGAACTGTAGCAACAATTATTTTTCTGTCACTGGAGAATAAGATTGGGACAGAGTTTAGGTACCTGGGATGAAGGCAATGCTAGGGTATATTAGTACAGAGGATGAAATGGTAAACTATATAAACTTTACCTTTCTTATGATTTTGCCTTCTCTTCAGCACAGGCTACACTATTCAAAGTTATTCCAAAACTACTATTGTATCTAACATTTGTTTACAGGTATTAAAGAGCACAAAATAGTTGATCAGCCTCAGAGACTATAACTAAGGGCTCTTCACCAGGGGTTATTTCTAGGCTCGATATCATTTAGCTTCTCAGCAACTTGAGAAGAGCTCTCTGTGGCCCAATCATGCGGTTCACAGGTGAGTCCAGTTGGTTGAAAAACTTACCCAACTCATTTTAGAAGAGAAGCAGGATCCAACATAAGTGTAATATCCAGACACATCATCAGGAGGTAATAGAATGAGTATCATTTAGGCGAAGTCCTGATGGAACATATTGGGAAAGAAATGGGAATAGAGACTAAGATGAAGAAGAATTGGCTGGGGGTAGAAGGAGAAAGCTCTGGGCTCATACTGAATCATGAAGTTAGCACAGATAAATCATGAAAAGACAACTGTGATTAGCCCAAGGATATGTCTCACAGACAGGGTGGCTAATAAACTTTTTATTTTTTCCCTACTTCAAATGGGAGGTCAACAGCTGGGTGGGACAGTCTTCCAGAATCAAAGGGAAGGGGTCCACTTCATGAGTTCGGGTATTTCTTCCTTTATCCTTCAGACTTGGTGAGTGAACTGGGAGACTTGCCTGGCACCCTGAGAGCCTAGGCATGCCTGCACTATTCACCCAGACTATTCATTGTTTTAAGGGTCAGTCATGCAGTACCCAGTAGGAAAGTCTCTATGGATGCCCTGGAGGTTTGTCCTGCCTCTCGATAGTTCTAGTAGATAGAAGGAGGGTGAGATCCCCTTCTAAGGAAAATCATTAAGAATTTCATGCAGACCTGATGCTCTCCAGAGCTTTGGGTTTTTCAAGGGGACAGCTACACAGAGCACAAGGCAGGACAGACAAATTTCCTCAATGTGAGTAACTTAATGGTTCTGCCTGGATGAACATTGGCTTGCCTAGCATTGACCTGGATGGTGGGACTGAAGCTACAGATGAGACCCAGTGTGTATGTGCTCAGTGTGCTTGAATACAGAAGATAAGTGGCAAGAAAAGCATGGTTTGGGGAAGCCACTGCTGCTCTTCCTTCTGTGCAAGGACAAAGTGGAGATTACCCTCTGGCCCAGGGTTAGGTTTCTTGCTGCCCTCTGAAAAGTGAAAGTGTTAGTTGCTCAGTTGTGTCCAACTCTTTGGGACCCCATGGACTATAACCCACCAGGCTCTTCTGTCCATGGAATTCTCCTGGCAAGAATGCTGGAGTGGGTTGCCATTTCCTTCTTCAGGGGATCTTCCTGACCCAGGGGTTGAACCCAGGTCTCCTACGTTACAGAGAAGGCAATGGCAACCCACTCAAGTACTCTTGCCTGGGAAATCCCAGGGATGGAGGAGCCTGGGAGCTACAGTCCGTGGGGGTCGAGAAGAGTCGGACACGACTGATGTGACTTAGCAGCAGCAGCAGCAGCTCCTGAATTATGGGCAGATTCTTTGCTGTCTGAGCCACCAGACAGCCCTTCAGGGAGGTTCCAATCAGGCTATCTAAAATACAGTACTCAACAGGCTTTCAGAAGATAACCTGGTTCACATGAGTGTGTCTTGAGCTTGCAGTATTGTCTATGTGCACTAAATGCAGATCTTATACCGTTGGTATGAGACCCCTCTCTCATGAATTTGATGGCATCCTTTGAGAACAACAATTCTTTTCCAAAGTATCCTGAAAAAAGTATCTGGCTTTTCCTGGGTGGGAGAATGATTTCCTTAACTTTGTCATCATTCAACTTACAGGATCTGATGAGGCCAGAATGTCTTGAAAATTTCCAAGTTCAGCAAGCTTATCCTGGGGAAAGCCTGGGAAGCGTTCAGTTACCATTTAGTGGAATCTTCCTTCATCCTCCTTTTGGACTAATCGAGGGTGATCTTGACTGATAAAGACTTCTATTACATTCTCCACGTTGGGCCAGTCTCTATGAGATATTTCTCCTGTGGACAATGGGGCTCTATAAGACAGTAAATGAGCTACTCCTGGAATAAATACATCTCCTTGTGGAAGTGACATAAGGGTTGGAAGATTTGGATGGCAGCTTTGTTTTCTTCAGGGATCTACTCTTATCCTAAGATTTATGGTCCCTGGGTTCCCTGGAGAATTAGTATAATGAGCCTCACTCAGCTTCTGCCCAACTCTCTTGGCTGTTCCTTATTACAACTTTTCAAATAAAAGTTTCAGTTGTTTGTTCAAGTCAAGAATAATAGTTACTTTTAAAGTGATACATCTAATTATTATTCTGAAATTGAGGCTCCTGTCTAACATTAGATAGTCCTATTATTACAGGGATGTGAGGAGCCATCACAAGCAAAGTAGAACTTTGAGATTTCCTTGGTGGTCCAGTGGCTAAGACTGTGCGTCCAATGCAGGAGGCCTGAGTTTGATCCCTGGTTGAGGAATGAGAATCCCACATGCCACAACTAAGATTCCATGCAGCTGAATAAAGAAAAATATTAAATATTGAAAAAAAAGCCAAAGTGAGAGTATAGAGGGCCCAACCTGTTGATGGGAATTTCGGCAAATCATGTTGTAGAAAAGTATTTGGGATGAGAGATATAGTTCTGGCCATATTTAGAAATACAATCTGCCATGTGCAAGTAATATTGCCTATTTTGTGAGGCTCTGTGAGTATCAAATGAGAAATGTTCTTAGTATAGGACTTAATCAGCACTTAAGTA